ACTAAAAAAAATAATAAAATAATAATAAATAAAGAAAAAAAAAATTTAAATATTCTGAGTCAGGTCTAAATTATTGATAATTTTTGGGCTGCAATTTTAAAAAATTGTAGATCTATAAACTCCTACTGGCATCAGTCTTTCTGTCTGTCCTTCAAGAATGGAGTTATTTAGATGGAAGTTGAGACCAAACACGAAAGCTTAGGGACAGGAGATCTCGATTAACTATATAAGAATTTCGTTTTGAACCGGAAGACATTATTTTAATTTAGAAATTTTCTCCTGAACGGAGTTAGATAGATTATCTGCATGATTCTATTGTTAACAGGAAAAGTATGATGTACACGGGCAAGACACTACTAAAATTGAGGTGACGAAAAATTGCAACCCAGCACAATAAATAATTGCTCTTTGTGTATTTAATTTTTAAAAAATTAGTAATTTTTCTTTAGTTTAAATATGTTAATTAATACAGATTATATTTTCTTTCTATAACAGAAAAGCCGTGTTATAGAATCTATATTAAACAAAATTAAATTTATTATCAGAAGAAAACCAAGTATCAAATAAAATATTATCTCAAATATCTAAAACTAATTCCAGAAAATTTTGTGACCAAAGTTTTTCTGGAATCGACGCAAAATACCATAAAAGTTTTAATTAAAGAAATTAGAATTTAAATAAAATATAAAATATTATAGTTATGTTGATAAGCAAACCCAATCCAAAGAGAGGGCCAACAGAGCCTCATATTTACACTGTCCTCAAAAACATTTGTTACGAATTATTCATGCCACTGCATTTTTCGTGTATTAGAAGAGAAGAAAACGTTTTTATTTTTGTCAAATTTTATTATTTAATAAACTTAGCACAATTTACTAATTCTATTTTATTTATTTTAATATATCGAGGACCTTAAAATACAAGTGACGAACATGTTTTACCTCTGAGAGGCCCTGTCGGCAAACATTTTTATATTATTTTTTAATTGAACTTCGTGCTTGATACTCGAGGAAATTATTACTCTTTAAGCCAATTCTGAACAAAATATACTCTATATAATAGAAATATACAAAATATTTTATTTAATTTTTATGTATAATAATTATTTTAAAATTTTCTACGATAAATTCTCTTATTTTATAGAAGGATTAAGTCTATTGGATATTATATTAATAAAGGTTTCCTTTTGTAAATAGACTGTACAGAATATAATATACCCTTTTATAATATTTAATATAGAATTTTCAAATATGGAAACAAAAACTTATGCCAGAACAATGAAAAGTTTTTTTAAATTGAGCATTAAAAAATTCGTTTTATCCTTTGATTCCAAACTTCTTTATGGTTAAATTCTATTTTGGCTCTGTATAAAATAAAATGACTTTAGCAAATACTTCTTTATTAATGAGATTTCCAGCATATAAACAAGCAGTAATCAAGTTTAGCAAAATCTTATTTAATAATCTTTCACATCAACACCACTAGATGATTACTTTCTGATGCTAAACAGAGAAAGGAAAGACGATGAAAATGAAAATGAAATTATGAATTACAAAATTATATACGAGTTATTTGATCTTGTTCTAATAACAAAGTTAAATTAATTCCTTTTTTAAAAAATATTAATATTAAATTAATTTCATCTTAAAAAAATGCTTGTGTTACTTTGACTTATCGGTTTATTTTTCCTTGTTAAACTAATTAGACAATATAATACGTAAAAATAGATGAAAAAGTATATTTTTCTTCGTTTTCTAGTATTTGTTTTAAGTGTTTAATTGCATTACTGTCGTAGCAAGGAGGCTTATAACTTCAAAAAAAAAAGGAATAATTTAAATAAAAATATTTAAAAATCTAGCAACGAGTTGCGTAACTTTTCCAGCTGTTATAAGATTTTATTTTAAAAACGAGCAATTATTTATTATGACATCGTCACAATGGCAGGCTGCAATTTTTAATCATATTTTAAATAATTTTTTAATTTAAAATATATGTTCTCTACCTCAAATTAGTAGTGTTTGCTCCTGTAAATCATACTTTTCCGTTAGTACAGTATTAGAGTAATGCCAGTCATCTATCTAACACTCTAACACACTAACGTTCTCGAGATTAAGGAAAGACAGACAGGCGGACGGACGGACGACAAATGTTGAGAAAACATTTTTAAAATTTAAATATATTCGAGGAAGTTGAGTTAAATATGTTCTTCCTACTTAGATTTATATTCTAAATTCATATGTTATTGAGAAAATTAGAATTAACTATATCTGTAGAAATTGTTTCAGTTTAACACAATTCAACTCGTTAAATTAAGTTATCGATTAGCAGCTTTAATTTAAATTTATAGTTATATTTTTAAATATATATTCTGAAATTATTTCCTATTTGTTAGAATATATTTCTAAGTCAACGGACTTAGAAATATATTCTAACAAATAGGAAATAAAAGAGTGACTGAAACGTATTTTTCTGCCATAAATGTCTTTGAGCAGAAAATGTATAGCGTGTTCCTATCTTAAATTGGAAGAAAACTTAATTTTTTACCTCTGACATTGTAGGAAATCAATTACTAAAGTCCTTTTACGTGCAGAACAGAACGTCTGTATTTCTAGGAGTTCTGAGAACGTTTGTACAAAATCGTTTTGTGGTGCCTACAATGTTAAACGTAATTATTTCTTGATATTTTTTAAAAAATTTAATTTTTTTATGTTTATAGTCAAGTTTATTAACCATGTTTTCAGTTTTTTTCACAAAGAAAATTTTTTTTTTCAAAAAATATTCCTTGAAAAATGGCGACCGTTTAGAGGGGTGTTATTATTGGAAGTTCAACTGTATAATGAAAATAATGTCCAACTGAAAGTAATATTTCAAAATATATGACATTGTAAAATTTATTAATAATTTTGTGGAATAAATAACAAGTAAGTAAAGTTCTCTTAGTGCCTGCGGGGAGAAGAGTTAAAATTAAAATGATTTAATTTAAATATCTAAATTTTACCAAAAAAAGGAAAAAGAAATACCACAAAAAATTAACAGAGAAACTTTACTAAATTTTGATAATTAAACAGTTTTATTTATCACAAAAAAAAACTATGGTAAGTTATTACGCAGTCTAAGTTTTTGTCTAGAACCTTACACTTTTAAAAGCTTCAAGCACGCACAAATATATGAATTCCCATACTCAGATTTGATCCAATATTCAGAATCTATATTAGCTATGATCCTCAACCTTCTTTCATGTCAACCATCAAGTGATACAAGTTTTACACTACGCAAACTTACATAAAAGAGTCACGTGCAACCTAAAATCACCACTATATTGAATACATTCGTTGCAGTTTATACTTTAAATAAGTGTACATCGAATGGATCGAAACGTATTTACTAAATTTTAAGACTTTTTTATAAAAAATTTTATTAAAATTTCTTCAAAGACATAAAAACGAATTTTAAAATATAATACTGTATTTAATCTCCTTCTGATGCAAAAAAAGCAAACTTTTTTAATTAGTTTTAATATCAATAATTAAATTGAATGAGAAAATAATTTTATAAAGAAAAAAAACTTAATTCAACGTTGGGAAAAAGTAAAAAATTTAAATATAAAGCGCAAAAGTATTCGATATCGATTTATATTCAGTTAGTGCTGGCACGTTTACTTCGGATAATAATTCACGACGAACAATTATAATCGGGAATTACAACCAATCATTACGTTTTCTACAGAAATTTAAGTCAGAATTATATTAATGATCGATAATCCAGCAGTAAAATATATATGTATATATGTATAGGAAAGTTTAATAAGCAATGATTGATGTTCGGAAAATTTTCGGAATGAAATTGTGTACGGTATATGGGATTAAAGTTTTCTCTTTGGCTGATTAAATGGAAGGCATCGAGTGGAAAATTAACTATTTTCTTTAAAGTTAAAGGAAAAAAACGGTGAAGAAGAAAGAAAAATATGCGATATCCTTATCAATTAATAATTTATTAAGGAAATTAACGTTGCGTGCTTTATATGCAAATTACACTTCTCGAGTTTTTTTGTTTTGAAAGTGGAAAACTTATCAAGTTACAATTTTAACATTTTTACTTAACTTTTTGTGTTTTTCTTCTTTTATTTTCTACCTTTTCAAAATAGATTCCTATCACGTATTTTTCTTTTTATATGCTCAAATTTCATATCCTACTTCAAAATTTGATAATAAAACAAGTACGAGCTCGTACAATGTACACAGAAAATCCCTTCTTAAGACTGTTAATTCTGTTCGAACACATTATATAATTTTATTTAACGGATTAAATAAAATGTTTAATGGAATTTTAAAACGTGTGTAAATAATAAAATAACAAGAAAATGAGATTTGTTAGATATTATTATCGTTACTAATGCAGATCTTTATAGAAATTTGTTATTGTCAGTCATTTTTTAAAGGTAAATTTCGAGCAGTATCGGTGATAAAATCTATTATAGTGCAACAGATGTGAAGTTAAGCTTAAAAGAAAACTAGTAAAGTGTAGACATTGATGAAAATGCGACACTGATGATCTTTCGCTAAAAAGGAATTAGTGTAGTGTCATCTCTGTAGATAAATTACTAGAGCAAGTACAGCCATTAGGTCTGATGTCTTAAACTGTCAAAGTGATGTTGCACTCTTCTAGCGAATCCACTCGTAAAGTCACCTGTCTACTAAGCCATTCGCCTTAATTACTCTTTAATTAAAAAAATGAACAATAAAAAAACACCCATCAACAAAAGGGAAAACTAAAAGCTTGTCGTTATTTTAAAATTTTTAAAATTCCATCGCATCCAATTAGAGCATAAAGTAATTGTTACGTCATTAAAATACGAAATAGATGCCTTTAAATAGTATTAATGAGATTTTATTCTGTAATATTGATATTGTACTTACTAGCTTTTACGTATTTTTTAAAATAAAATTAAAAAAGTATAAAAAATACTTTAAAGATATTAAATTATTAGCTTGGAAATGGAGGGATGGATTCGATGACGTCACGCTTCCAACAGTTTCTATAGGATAGCAGCGCTTCTACATCCAGTTGGAACTTAGAATTGGTCAAGAAAACACGGAATTGATGCCTATCTGATTCAAGTAAGTGCAATTTTATCAATCGATTACTGTTTAAAGAGAAAGAAATTTAAATAAACTATTTATTTATGAAGTTTTTTAAAATTATACACGCGTTATTCTGTATATAAATAATGCGATAGAGATCCTAGATTAAAAGATTAATTGTTGGGTAAGTTTATTAGATATTTAAATACAAGTTATACGTGAATTAGTTTGGATATTAAACGTTAATCTACATCCAGAACTATCAACAGGTTGGGCTTACAAGTTTTAATTTATAAATTATAACAATATTCTACATTAAAATTATATACAAAAGTTTGTTTAATTTATTTAATTAGTTGATTATTAGAATTAAGTAGCATGTATTTATTTTTTAAATACATTTTCTTTAAAAAATTCATAATATTAATGTCTAAAACTGAGCAATACAGGGCGACCCAAAAGTCAGTTAACCATTGTAAATTTCTGCTTTATACAAATGCTTAATCACATTTTTTAATCACTTTATTCTAATATTTTATATTTATATATTTAATATTAACAAGCGTGCCTGAAACCTATAAAACGTGGTTAACTAACTTCTGGGCCACCCAATATAATATTCGAAATCTCTTTATAACTTCTTATCTACGTAATATCGTAGAAAACAAATTATAAATAATTTTATTCATGCATTATCTTTCTAATAGTAGCGTGTAAAAAGAAACATTATCGGTCGAGTTAATTGGAAATTAAAGAAGGCGTCATGGTTTCGGTAAACATTCACTTTTATACAAAATAGCTCATCTGCAACAGAGTAAGTGAATACATTGTTTTGAATTTTCATACAATTTGGGATTGGTTGTCAAACTCATTATCCGGCAACATAACTATAGAATAACAGTTGCTAAGAGATACTCCAGAATTAATTTAAGTAATACAGAAGAGTGAAAAGTCGTAATTTAAATGTTATTGAGATGATTTAAACATCATTTTCTCGTATATTAGTGTGAGCCTATTTACTACTAAAAACATTATATGTATAATGTCCCCTTGTGATGTAGATAACGAGTCTAATGATATCTTTACAAGTAGTAGTTAGTTACTTGAAAATTGCCATTCTTATCGATAGATTGTTAAATTAGAATTTTCTTCAGAGTAAACATTTGTTCAAGTTGAAATTTGTTAGAAAATTTTAAAATATACAGTAATACCCCGAACTTACGCGATGGGTGGGACCAAGCGATAACCGCGTAAGTCGAATTCGCGTAAGTCGGATTATAATTTCGCAATTTGTGTAAAATCCAAGTCGGATGTATGTAAGCTAATAAATGTTCTCGTTAATCTTATCTCGTCTTTTGATTTATTCACGGTTACAAGAAATCACCGCATAGAGTCTCTCGCGTCTCCGTAGATATAAAATACACAGAAATAAATAACACAAAATAAATTGTAGCTATGCGTCGATTCCACGCGATACGTCCGAACATGTAAGCTGAACAATAGTGTGGGGGAGTGAGTAATCAAGAGTTGCCTGGCGCTCAAACAAAAGACGATTCGACGAGATTTGAAAATCGCGTAACTCCGGGTTCGCGTAAGTCGGGGTAGCGTAAGTCGAGGTATTACTGTATATAATTTATTGATAAGAAGCGCTTATCACAGATTATACATTAAGTAATACATCTCTATTGTTATTAATTACTATCCATTACGTATATACATATAATTTGTGTGTAATTGAGCTGCAATTTTCAAATTGCAGACCTGTAAATTCCTACTGTCTGTTTGTTGCCTATCTAACTCCATTCTCGAGATTATCGAAAACGGAGTTAGATATATGAAAGTTGAGATCAGAAATGACATCTTAGGGGCAAAAGGCCCCGATTAATTTTATATACGAACTTCCGAGCTGGATCAGAAGTCACATGATTTCAATTCAAAATTTTCTTAAGAACAGAGATAGATTACCAGCATGATTCTGTTGTTATCGGGAAAAGTATGATGTACAGGGACAAGACACTACTAAAATCGAGAGCATATATTTTAAATTAAGTAAGTTAAAAACATGATTAAAACATTTATTATATAATTACGTATAGATCCTGTATTACAATGCAACAAATTAAAGACTTATTTTTACTGATTAAGACGATGAAAATATTTTTGAATATACTTTGACAATTAAAGAAAATTGCAAAATGTTTCATGCCACTCTTCTTTGAATTTGTTAAACGTATTTACTTCTTTTAAAAGCGTGTTAATGATGAAAAGACTTTCTACAGCGTTTAACAATGTGAGTTTTCTATATTTTTATTTTTATTTCTTCTTAACTTTCGTACAAATTTTTTTTTAACTCTTCAATATAATTGCTAAAGTTCCTATTACATTATATAACTTCCAAAAGCTTAAAACCCTAAAGCATTAAATTTATTTTTATAAAAGAAATATTCTTTCTTTGTATTTTATCTGCAAGAATTTGTCTTTTATTCTACTTTTTATAACATTATTAAATGATGAAAGTGTTATCAAATCTCATCTAATTCTTCACCTATTTAGAATCAAAGAATTGGGTTCGATTTCTAGATTTTCTCATCCTATTTTCTAGGGTATCATTTACTTTAATAAAAGAAAGGAAAGAAAAAAACTAATTTTCGTGAAGAAATTAATTTCCAAAATGGATAACACATTACTGTAACCGATCTCTGTTCCATTATTATAAATGATTAAGGTTGTAAGATTTGTTACAAGTTACAATTGATGATGATGGTTACTATTATTATCATCATTACTACGAAACTATCGTTATAATTATGACAAATAATTATAATTTAAAAGCACCAACAAGAAAAATAATATTTCTTATAGAATTTTTTTTGTTAGAAAATCTTAATCTTATTTCTATATACAAATTTTAACTTTAATTAGATAAGATTAGCCTACTGAAAATTAATGTTCCAAATTGGGAAAAATAATTGGTATATTCTGGTTATTATTGGTTTTTTTTGCCAATTTAATTTTTCTCAATTCTTTTCTCAATTGTATTTTACCTTCGTACACGAATTAGAAGCGGCGAACTACTACCCTTTTGTGAATAAATATCATATTAATATGTAAAAATTGATGACGATAATAAGCTGTCATCCCGAAATAACTGCATAAATCTAAGTAGTTGCCATTATATCAGTATCTCATCAGCAATCTAACCACTATGATGCAACATCATTTTTATATTGTCATCATTAGAAGCATTATTTTCCTATTCGTATATCAAGATTTTCACTTTATATAGGCCTATGTGTGTATTTTCAAGTATGACCTATATTCTTTGTTCTAGAGTGGTATATTTTCTTTTCTCGTCTTTAATAACGGCTTTTTCATATAGTAAACACTAATAAGTAGGTACTTTCCCACGACACCAAGTATAGTTTCTATTGATTCGTTGTTTTGAAAGTTTGAGAATCCGAAAATCGACCGGGGAAAAAATAGAAAAACAATCGATTTTACGAGGAAACAAAACACTAAAAGGAATGTTCGCTAAGAAGGAAAAGGATTTATAGGTGTTGTTTTTTCGCCCAGGTAAAAGTTCTATACATTTACAATGTTACCAGCAGTAGATCATCACATCACAAGTTTTGAAGATTGTTACCGTTCGTAGGGATTATGGCCCTGTCAAAATACATATAAAAATGGTAAATACTTAAAATTTTGAATATATATTCTGTTATTTTCCAATATTAAAAAGATGATAAACTGTTTCCTACATGCTATCAATTATGATAAAGCTGGAAGATTATAATGAAAATCCTACAGCTCAGTTTTATTCACAAGTATGAATGAAACTGCGCTGGAAGTGTCAAGTTCCGAGATTTATAATAGAAGTGCATTATTACTATGTTCAAGATGAAACTATATATTGTATGTATCGTTACAATGATAAATATATATAATTAGAATTAAAATGAAGGTATTGAGAGTAGAGAAATGTTTGCTATTTTGGTTTAATAATACGTATAAACGCAGGTATACGCATTAATCTATAAGTTTAATATATCAATAGTTTTGTGATATGTTCTAAACCATATTATGTAAATTTCATGAAGTATTTTGTGGCTTTCCAATCAAAATATAAGATAGCCAAATGTATGCTTATTATTGCAGAAATTCATTCTTCCTAATCCTGAAATTTATATAATTTTACAATTTTTTTTAAAATAAAAATGTAAAATATTTTATATTTTATTTAATAAATTCTTCTATTAATTTAATCTATTTAATAAACTCTCATATCAATTTTTGCTTACTTTAATTACGAGCATAGAAGCCTCTCAGAGTTAGAGAATGAAGGACCACTTAGCTTTTTCAGAAGTAAAATTAAACATTTATATTAGAGTAAATCAGGGTTAGATGGTGAATAAAAATGCTGGAGGCTGTGAGTGTGAAAATTAATTTTATTTTAAAAAACTGACTGAACTTGTCATTACTTCCACGAATGTCAAATCTTTGACTGAAACTATTAAGTAATCTGTTTTATGTAGATTTAAATATATATAGCTGTATAAAAGTTAAAGTAAAAGAATTTTTAATAAAATAAGAACTAGTGCAAATAAGAGTTTATTTATATCGGAAAACAGAGTCGTAAAAACAAGATATAATTTTCTGCTAAGTCACCATCTCACTCTTAGAAGTGTGGATTAGTTGGTGAACAGTATATGGTTGAGCCCTCTATCAGAGCTTACTCTGTTATTTTTGGCCGATTACTGGTTACACTAATTATCCAAGCTTCTAAAGTCTTATATGTAGGAAATAAAAGTAGTCCGCTGATCTTAAGATTTTTGAGGCTACAGTAAACATAAACATATGTAAAAAATTCTGCAAGTCGGAAACAGAAACATTCGATTTATTCACTTAATATTACAGCAATTGCGCGTAAACATCACACACAGCAAGTATGGCTTTCGACTCACACAATATATCTATAAATGCGCTATCTTTCAGTTTATACAGTAATTACATGTGTTCAATATGTAAAACCCTGATTT